TGAAACCGGGAAATCCGGTTTCCGGTGTCCGGACTTGTCCGGTTCACTTGTCCGCCGCTGCCATGATATATATATGTATATACACATGATCTCCATCTCTGCCTAAGGTTTACCGGGCAGCTCTGTTTGACGATCTATATGCGAACAAGATTTCCAGAAGACTCCTCACCAAGCTTCCCGTGCTTACACTAGCAGCTGGTGCCAGCAGAATCGGGTTGAAGAGCAGCGCCCTCGCAGCCTAGATGTTCACGATGATATCGTGATCATGGCGGCGGTTGCAGTGCTTGCGCTTTTCGCGTTGTTTTCCGAAGCAATTACAGCTTACTTTTCTACCCTCTGGGATTTCTTTATCTGGGTATGTGCGTACTTCCATATGGTGTCTGAAACGGTCTGGGTTCCTCTGCTGCATGGATGTCAGTCTCCGTCCCAGCTTACACCAGTGCTGTCTGCTTCAGGGTACACAGGATACCCTGTGTACCTCCGGATGTCAGTCTGCGTCCTAGGACACAGTTTGGATGTTTTGCTCACATCAGTGCAGTGGGGGAGGACATCAAGAGGAACAACCATAAGATAAGATAGTTCTCGGTAACTTTTTAACAGCCATAAGATAGTTCTCAGTAACCTTTTACCCTGTGGGAGTTCTTTACAGTCTGCGTCCTAGGACACAGTTTGGATGTTTTGCTCACATCAGTGCAGTGGGGGAGGACATCAAGAGGAACAACCATAAGATAAGATAGTTCTCGGTAACTTTTTAACAGCCATAAGATAGTTCTCAGTAACCTTTTACCCTGTGGGAGTTCTTTACGAGGGTACTGCCATAAGATGCAGGGTAACGTTTTACTCTCCAGAGGGCAACTTTTTACCCTCTGGAAGTTCTTTATTGGGGCACCGCCATAAGATGGAGGGTAACTTCTTACCCTCCAGAGGGCAACGTTTTACCCTCTGGAAGTTGTTTGTCAGGGTACTGCCATAAGATGGATGTTTTGCTCAAATCAGAGGGTAACTTTTAAGTTTTTATCCTCCGGGATTTCTTTATCAGGGTACTGCCATAAGATGGAGGGTGATGTTTTACCCTCCGGAGCATAACGTTTTACCTTCCGGAGGGTAACGTTTTACCCTCCGGAGGGTAACTTTTTACCGGAGGGTAACTTTTTACCCTCCGGGGGTTCGTTATTAGGGTACTGCCATAAGATGGACGGCAACTTCGTATCGTCCGGGAGTGCTTTATCAGCAGGGTACTGCAATAAGATGGATGTTTTGCCCACATCAGTGTGTGTGTTGGGGGGGGGATGGGGCGGGGGGCCAACTTCAGTGGGTGCGCCCTAACAGCTCAAGGCAAAGCTGTGGGAGAGGAGAAACAGCAGAGCCCCAGGGGCAGGGGGCGTACACAGCATAGGAAGCCAAAAACAAAAAGACAAAACTACCGGGTTTTCTGGGGGAGAAGGAAAAGAGAAAAGGAACACGTCTAAAAAAAGCACAGTCAAGGAAAAAGAGGTGTAGATGAAGGAAACTCTTGCTGGAATGTGCTTTTACCGCAGCGCATTGCTTAGGGCATCGATCGGGCCATGACCCTCTGCCGCTGTCATCTTAATCCGGTCGCCAACTTGGAGCTTGAGCATTGCCTGATTGACGTTACAAGAGCCGCACTCATGCTGGTGAGTCGCAACAGCAACAGCTACACCTCCTCTTCGCTTTGCAACATCGTCATGTGGCTGAGCTTCTTCAGAGCATGCCTCCTGCAAGCTGCTGCTTTTTGAAGAGCTGGAGAACATAACCTCTCCTCTGTTGCTGGCAATTACGGAGTACTCAAGAACTCGGAACCTGGACGGAAAAATGGGTACGGTTCAAAGTTCAACCACATGGCATACATACACATGGGTTTTGAGAAAGAAGGAAAAAGGTTAGCCTCTCTGCGAACAGTGCCGAACACCAAGCATAGCTTCGCAATATTTTGTACAGTTCGTGTTACTTCACAGTGTTTTGTATTGTTCCATATTGTTTTGGACTTTTTTTCTTTTTCTTTTTTTTTCACTCATATCCTCCCTCTACCTACCTTCCTATTAAGTCCATTTTCTAGCATTCGTCCTAAGAGTTACGGGTTGAGGGTTGAGCCTATCCCCTCTGGGTTGAGCTGTTCAAAGTTTAAACTCATGCTCTGTTCAGCAACAGTTGCATGTCTGCATCGTTAACCTGCATGGGCTGGTTGACGGTGTTCCTCTTTCTGTGTCACTACAGGTTCAGCAGCCATAAATGTGTGTCTTTTCTGCAGACAGGATAGATAGAAAGGGAGATACAGGCTGCTGAGCGTGTGTCAGGCCAAAACGTTTTGTTTTAGACAGGATAGATAGAAAGGGAGATACAGGCTGTTGAGCTTGTGTCAGGCCAAAACGTTTTGTTTTTTTCTTTCTCCAGGCAGAGAAGAACAAAAAGTCACCTACCAGTAGGGACAGACCACACAAGGAAACATAGTGGGAGAGAAAACTGTATGAGAAAGAAAAGCTATGAGTGGAACAGGCGGTTAAAGAGAGCCAGATTCGTAATCAATTAGGACAGCTGCAGTCCTTCGGGGCATCCGTTAAGCACGTAAAATTGGAACAACACAGAGAAGAGAAGATTAGCATGATCCCTGCCTGCACACCAATGAGACGCATAAATTGAGAAATGTATGAAATGACACCCCCGCCCCTCTCCCCCTCTCTCGTCAAAAAAGAAGGAGAGCTGCAATGGAGGAGACTACGGAAGAAGGCACTCACAGTTCTCCGATGCCTGGATGATATCTGTTCAATCGGGGCGATGGAAGAGGTCAGCGGGGTGGGGCGGGGCGGGGAGCGGGCGGGGGGAAGAGCGCGGGGCGCGGTTGGAGGGGATTGTGAAGGCCGCAGAGTTCTGAGGAAGAAGCGGTGTTTCACACAAACTTTCATGGGCCTGGCTCCGGTCTATTCCGGGAAAGTTCCTGCTAGTGTGTTTTTCAGACATTGTTTTGTCCTGGTGTGTTTTTCGACATGATTGGCATGATTTCTTCTCGTTATCCTTCAATCTTCTTGCGGTTTCTTCCGTGTCTTCTAACCGTGCATGTGTAGCGAAACCGCTACTTCCATTTCGCAAAGGAGGGTACCAAACCAACACATTTACACGCGTGTGAAGCACCAACCAAAAAAAAACAAACTTTTGGGCCTAGCAGGGACTGCAATTATGCAAAATTTTGCCACAAGGGCTTTATTTGCCCATGCAGAATTTCGGTTTCGATTTTTCCTAAGATTTTTCTTCATAAAGATCAGCACTCAATCTACGCCCTTTATTTCCCCCTTCCCCCTTCCCCCCTCCCCCTTCCCCCTGAGCATAAAAAATGCCAAGGGGAAAAATTGGTGCACTCAAAAGTCTCAAATTCTTGCGCACCGCCGAATCGGAAAGAATAATACAAGAATCAAAATCACAGAAAGACTTCCAAGCCAAAACGCCAAATTCGTAAATCCCTCCCCCTCCCCCCCTCCTCCTCCTCTCTCAACAGCTGGTAGGCCGACCTGTCCCGCGGCCAGTGGGTGCGCAGCACCGCTGGCACCTCTCGGATTGTGGCGGCAGAACTGGTGGTTTAAGTTCGGCCTCCGGAGCTGTGGAAGCTCGAAATGCACTCATTTATTCCTGTTTTCTGTATCATGCAATACTTGAATATTATTTAATAATTTTAATCATTATTCAATGATTATTGTCACTTCGGCAACATCTCCTCTCAAGTACCGTCTGCGCATACAACACTGAAAAAAAAAAAAAAAAAAAGGGAAAAAAATTCAAAAAAATAAAAACAACTCTGCAAAGAAGAAAGGTTAAGAGGTGGACGAGCTCACGGTTGCACATAGTCTTTCCCTTTCCTCACAATCAGCATATCCACCGACGCTCCGGCATTCTCAAAGGCGCAACCCTGCACCACCCGTCGGCCAGCCAAAAGGACATTGCCAAATCAGAACCCCAATATGTTGCACAAGCCTCAAGGAGGCGTACAAACTCTCAGAGAACCTTTTTTTTTTTTTCTCCATCTTCTGCTGGACCACGAATGTGCATTGACTTCAGTCACGTTATGCAAACCCGAGCAGGTGCATGCGAAAGGTTTTCAACAGACGAGCACCTACACATAAAAAAGAGGGCTCAAGAAACCAGTCTATGACTCAGCATAAGTAAAATAGAGTGAAACATCCCCACAGAGAAGAACATGCCAGCGATAACATCGCTACAGTGATGGCGGACAACACAGTGTACCGATGTAAAGTGAGTTTTTTTCTCGTTTCCTTTGTTTTTCTTTTGAACCGCCACTACCCCCGAGCCTCTGTTTGCCGAGGCGGAAAAGAACTGCGGGCAAAACTTTGCCAAAAAGCGCCAGCGCGATAGTTTTTTTTTTTTTTTTTTGTGGGGGGGGGGAGATCTCAGGGCTAGCGCCGCCAGCCATTTTCATCCAGTAGCACTGTTCACCCAAAGAACGTGGTGTATGTTTTTTTGTTCCTATTTTGGTGTTTCGCGTTTGCTTGTGCAATGTTGTGGTGGTTTAAGGTGCGGCATAGCAAGAGTGCAAGGCACAAGGAGGTCTGCGTATGGGGATAAAGCATACTTGCAAGCGGACGCCGTCCGGGCGGTTCCGCACGTGCGGCAGACCGCGGGACCGGACCCGCGCGGCGCACGAATGTGCGCCCGACGACCAGTTACACCCCACCCCCCCCCCAAAACCATAAAAACGGCCCCGTCCGGTCCGGTCCGGGTCCGTCTGGTCCGGGGAAAGGGTGCTGCACGCGGCAAAGAGGACCGGACTGGACGCTCGTCCGGTCCGTCTGCTTGCAAGTATGGGATAAAGTGAGGTTACTGAACCATGCAGGCTTGGTAAAGTCACTTCTATTGTGTGGCAGATTCTGTGGGATAAAGTGTGAAGATTTATTTTCTTTTCTTTTCTTTTTTATAGAAAAAGTTCAAAAAACAAAAGCTCATTCAGCTGACAATGCCTGACATGCACGTAAATACAGAACTGTTCCCTTGCTCGTTAAGAAAAAGTGAGATAGTCCATCGGGACAACCGTTAAAATTGGAACGATACAGAGAAGATTAGCATGGCCCCTGCGCAAGGATGACACACATAAATTGAGAAATGGTCCAAATTTAAAAATAAAAAATAAAAAATGTGAGATAGCCTCATATCTAGGCCCCTGCATGTACACCTGAGCTTGTGAAACTTAATTTTCAGGGATACAGGGGCAAGGCAGGGAAGCAACCAGCGCATCTGCATAACTCGTTCTGCACACTACCATAGCCATGAACTCAATCAATCGTTAGTGATGACGATGAGTACGACAATGAGCGGCAAAGGAAATCAACAACGGAGACGATGACCGATGACACCCACCTCACTCTCCATTTGTTTGATACGTGCGAGAACACTTCCTGCCGTCTCCCGGTCGATCGTAAGCCCTGCCTTCTCAGCCTACATGACAACAGTATTTCACACATGAAAATGAAAATAAGGGATCTCAGAGAGACTTCACCATCTTCCAATTGTTCCCTTTCTTTTTCTTCCAACTCACACAGAGGCTGCAGCATCCTCAATTTTTTGTCGCAGTTTGAAGCCCTTTTTTAAGTTTCAACTGTAACGAAATATCATGTCTTGCAAACTATGAAAGCAAAGATCCCGCTGAGAAAATCACATCATCAGGATCAGGACAGAGCAGCACAGAGAGGTGGGTGGTGGGTGTGGCACAACCATCCCAAAACTTGGAGGGGAGAGTAACCCAATTTTCTGTCTGAGGGCTGAAGAAGATTACACAGATCGCTTACGAATTGCCAGATGAGTTAGAAGCTAGGTTCCCAGGGTTACCCGGATGGGCACCCGTTCAGGTCGCCTGGCCGGGGACCCGTTCAGGTCGCCTGGCCGGGGACCCCTTCAACGTCGCCTGGTCGGGCACCCGTTCAGGTCAGATGGGGAGGGATGGGGAGGAACAGGGAGGAGGAGCCCTGAAGACCCTCCTCCTGGTTCAGATGCTAGTAGACAAAATAGGGACTTGAGGATCTTGAAGACAAAAGAGCATTTTGTTACGATCCTGGCCAATTTTGAAGTCCACAATCATCAGAAAGTACAATGTTGTCCAATTGCAAAAAGAAATGAATGAACTTGAGCCCAATGCCGTCCAATTGCAAAAGAAATGAAAGAACTTGAGAGGAGAGAGAGGGAAAGAAGAAGAAGAAGAAGTAAGAAAGAAGAAAGAGATGATGTACTCCAGCATAGTGAAACAGTTTTCACCTTTGGCAGTAGCCGATGCAGATCCCAGGGGTCGATCCCTTGACCTCAGCTTACCTGTGTACAGTATCTGCACAGTTCCCTGGAGTTGAACCCGTGACCTGCACGATAGCCAGTGGTAAGTAGGTCGCCGTAGGTTGTAGGCTGTAGGGAGATTCGAACTGTAGACCTGTAAGGTAGGAGTCCAAGTAGAGTCCAGAGGCCTAGCCTTAGTCATTCTAGAAGGTCGGCAAGTGGTCAAGTGGTGAGTCTAAGGTAGGCCCACGTTTTCAGACGAAGACAAGTGGCAAGGTCAACAGGTAGGACCTCAGTGCAACTGCACTGAGCCGACGGTACGACTGCCTACAGTCAGCAGAAGGGTCTAGAGAGTCCCAGTCCAGTCCAGCAAGTACCACAGGGGGACTGTGAGCACCAAGGGCCGATGGCAAAGGGCAGACCAACGAATTTTTGAAGTATAAATCAAGAGGCAGTGCCCAGCCATTCATTCATTCCTGCGTGAGCCATGCGGAAGCGCTGCCACAGCGACTTGTGCAAGGAGGTCTGCAGATGAGCCCGGAGGACGCAGTGGGCAAGAGAGTGGGAGTTAGCATAGCGATAGGGTAGATGCAGCGACAACTGCCATAGCTGTAGTTAGTAGTGAGTGTGTGTGTGTGTTCGAGTGTTAGAGTGATGCGTGTGGGATATCCAGGGTGATCCAGTGTATGTGAACAGTGATATGTTTGGGCGCTGAAGTCGCCATAGCCAATTGAGAGTGAACTCGTATCTGAAAACCATATATCTGATTTTTGAGTGGGCGTATGTCGCCAGTATGCTGCGTTGCTGTTTACATGCATGAAAAGTGTGTTTGAGAACAAGTCTGATTGCAATAGACCAAAGACAAAGCTCTTCTTCTTCGCTCAACAACCTCCTCCTCTTTATCTCCTCCTCTCTTATTCAAACAATAAATAAACAATAATAATGTTGAACTTTGTAGCAAGTCTTTCCTAGCAATCTGCAGTAAGTCTTTCCTAGCAATCCAATAGAAATCATCCAACGGATGGTACAGAAAATGAACTTTGTACTGTCTGTTTCCTCCCTTCCCACTGTGTTCGACAATCCTATCAACCTCATGACCGCCATTGATTGCGCGAGGAATCATTGACTCTCGGTACTTGAACGTTTCAGGTGATTCATACGGAAACAACTTTGACGCATGAAAGACTGGGTTTGTGCGCAGATGTGCAAGCACATCGATCGTGTAAGAAGGACCGAAGGAATCACTCCCTACCTGGTTCAAGACCTGCCACGGTCCGTAGTACTGAGGAAGAAGCTTTCGTGATACACCTGCTTCTTCAGAAAACTCAGACATTTTGACCCAGACATAACTTCCCACTGTGAATGGTGCAGGCTGGCGCTTTTTGTTAGCATGTTTAATCGTCGCACTGCGTTGCCTCCCCATAGCTGCGACAACAACCTTGAGTAGGCGACCGAACTTGGCGCTGTAGCCTGGCTGACCAGGTGTTAGGCCAGGTGGCTGATCAGGGAATAGATAAGATAGAGGATTGCGGATTTTCCATCCAAGATGCAGCCGGTTAGGCGTCATCCTGGTGGAGGAGTGGATGGAGTTGTTGTACAACCCCTGCACAATCGGCAACTCCTCATCCCAAGAGTTCTGGTCAGGTGCAATTAGAGCCCTGAGAAGCTGGATCACAGTCTGGTTGATTTCCTCAGCCAGTCCATTGGCTTCGGGATGTCGCCCAGACGTCATCTTGAGTTTCATGTCGTAGGTCTGGGAGGTGAAATCTTTCCAGTCTGCGCTTATGAACCTGGTGTCCCGATCACTCACAAGAGTYTTCGGGGGGCCATAATGTAGCACGTACCTTTTGTTGAACTCATCGATCACAAGGTTGGTTGGGGCGTGAGGTGGCAAGGGAATCAGATTTAGAAATTTCGAAAACCGATCAACGATCACCATCACTTGCGAATAACCGTTTCTGCTCTTCTTCCCCATGTCCGTGAAGTCAATGGAAACAGACTCACCCGGGCCATCAGGGATAGGAAGAGGGTGCAGCAGCCCATAGGGCTGCTGCCGAGACGGTTTGATGCGCTGACAAACTTCACACTCAGCCACAAACCTTTGTGCCATTCTTTTCATTCCAGGCCACACAAACTTTTCCAACAGAATCCCGTATGTCTTCTCAACACCGAAGTGTCCACTCCGGCCATGAGCCAAGTCCAAGAAATGAGTCATGATTGGCTCATGGATGGGCACACACAATCGGTCATGCTTCCCGTAACGTCGGAAGAGAAGGCCCTTACACTCATGGAAATCAGGCTGACTGCTAGGGTCAGCCCGAATCTGCTCAAGGATGGGACTGAGTTCCAGATCCTTGGTAGTATGTTCAATGAGCTCCTCTTTCAGATTCTTACGAAGGTCATAGGAACCCACAAGGCAAGTCATATATTCCGGGTGGCGAGACAAAGCATCCGCAACACGATTATAGCAGCCTTTCTTGTGTTTGAGTTCAAAGTCATACACATCAATCTCATGCAGCCATCTGGTCAACGTGGTTGATGGGTTAACCTGTGTCTGAATCCATTTCAAAGTCTCGTGGTCTGAGAACACTTTGAAATGGCGACCCAAGAGGTAGTGCTTCCAGTGGTCTAGTGCCTCTCTCAAGGCATAGAGCTCTCTCATGTAGGTGGAAGCGGCTACCTTGTGGCTGGGCATGCGTTTGCTGTAATATTCAAGCGGACGTAAGCCATCACCATCGATTTGCTGCAGCATCGCACCAATCCCATACAAACTCGCATCCGTAGTTACTACGAATGTAAGTTTGGGATCTACAATGCGGAGCACTGGATGACTCACCAAAGCCTCTTTCAGTGCTTCAAAGGCTGTTGTGCATTCTTCATTCCATGCGTAGGACACATTCTTGCTTGTTAGTCTAGACAGCGGTCGGGCAATTATAGAGAACTTTGGCACAAACTTACGATAATATGACGCAAGACCAAAAAAAGAACGCAGCTCGCGGACATTCGCAGGTTGAAGCTATTTTTGGATGACCTCAACTTTGATTGCCTCGGGCTCTAGGCCCGCAGCAGACAACCGATGTCCAAGGTAGATGACGCTGTCCCTCCCAAACTCAGATTTCTCCAAGTTGAGATGGAGCTGCACATCCTTGAGGATATGCATCACTTCCACAAGGTGTCTCATGTGCTCCTCCATCGATTTGCTGAAGATTAGTATGTCATCCAGATAAACAACAACAAACCGGTTAATCTGATGGCGGAACACTTTGTCCATGAGACTTTGAAAGGTGGCTGGCGCATTCGTGAGACCGAAGGGCATGACGGTAAACTCGTACAACCCATTGCGAGTTTTGAATGCGGTTTTGTGCTGGTCCGCAGGATCGACTTCGATCTGGTGGTAGCCAGACTTGAGATCGATCTTGTTGAAGACTTTGCACCCACCTGCAGCATCAAGCAAATCATCGATACGTGGCAAAGGATATGCATTCTTTCTCGTGATCCAATTCAACCCGCGGTAGTCAATACACATCCGCAACTTACCTCCTTTCTTAGGGACAAACAGCACCGGTGCACCAAACTCCGACTCACTCGGCTTGATCCATCCCTTCCCAATCATTTCATCAATCTGCCTTCGAAACTCCTCCAATTCGCCTGAGCCCATTCGATAGACACAACCCTTTGGAGGAGTGCTACCTTCAATCAACTCGATCCTGTGTCGGACCAGACGCACGGGGACTCCATGCGGTTCGGCCAAGACGTCAGGAAATCGGTTGAGAAGGTTGCGAATTTCCGGTGGGATTTCCGGAGGGGGATCATCACTCTCAGGAGCAAGCATGTCAGTTTGCATAGGTGCAGCCAAAACAACAAGATTAGAAGTAGAATCATTTGGACTAGAGGTAGATTTAGTAGAGGTAGATTTAGTAGAGGTAGAAGTAGTTGCATCCGAGGTGGAAACAACATGCAAAGTAGAACCAGTATGTACAACAAAAATAGAAGGCACATGAGCAGGCCTAACAAAGGCTATATACATTTGCTCATCAGTTTTGCGCCTGCGCCACTTTTTGCAGAACTGCATTGCATTGAGAAAGGTTACTTGGGACTCGCGCGGCTCATCCAAGAGGACGGGACGCTCGATCCCCATGGCATCTTTGACCATGAATTGTGAGTTCCTTCCACGT